GTTATTGCTGTGCAGTCTGCAGACCGTTTAAAGTGGTACAGATTTCTGCTGGGACTTATCTTAGGTCAAGACTATTCGTCCTTCCAACTCCAGCTACCCAAAATAAATGTTAGACCTGTTAACTGTCATTGACATCATGACCTTTCTTTTGTATTCTGTCAAATAAATACTTTCCATGTACAGCTATATTTAATATTTTAGTGTTTGACTCGCTGCTATCAGACAATTATTTTCTTTCTTTTTGTTTTTACTCCATGTGCTCCGTGGTATCTGGCTTTTAACCCCTGACACCAGCCTGTATGTATAATGTATTGGTTGGGGATCAGGCCCGGGGTGGGGTTGACCCTTTGTGATATATTTAGAGCGCTGCCTGCGATGAATGTTTTATCCATTCTGCGTAGGCAGGCCAGCCATTAAACATTCATATCTGCCACTGAGATGACCTCCTGGAATATCAGCCTGTCATCAATGAATTAACATCAGATCATCATCAATGAGCTAGCATCACAACGTCCTCAATGATTTGACATCATGTACACATGTTACACATTTCCCTTCTACAGGCTGGTGAATTCTAATTAAATGGTCAACTCTTCTTTAGAGTATCCCTTTATAAGTTCATTTCCAATTGACCCTATGAGTAGTAAAGGACAGCCATTGATGATATGATGATATTTGAGAGTTCCCTAATGGCCTAGCATCTTAAAATAGATGGAGCATTCAGAGTATCAAGGTAAAGAAAAGGACATAAAGAAATGGTTGTTTTTTTCTCTTTTTGGGGCTCTAAAACATGTTCGAGCCAAATATTGAGGGGTCGTTCCTGATTTGGGGTTTACTTAAGTGGAAAGTTGCTTTAAATTAAGAACTTCAACTCATTAGATTGCAACACTGACTTTAATAGTAGGTACTGCAATAATTATCCATTGTATTGCTTTGTCTGAACAAATTATGTCCTAAGTTCCATCTTTCTACATCAAAAGTGCCCATATTTACTGTTTGTGCGATCCCATAGTTGTGAATGCTTTTTTGGACATTAAAGCATGTATCACGGTCAGTGGTGGACCATGCTGCTCCCGCTGGTGTGTGTGTTTTTTGGCTCTGCTTGGCTTCGCCTCTCAGACACAGTTTAGCAACAGCTCAGCCAGCCTGCATTATTCATACAGGAGTGAAGCTGCAGATAGGGTTACCATGGGGCAGTATAGCTGGTGCATAAAGGTGCCCTTTGCAACTATATTATAGGGATACACCTTGATGCATATATACACACACTGACATACAATACATATACTCACATGTACGTGCTCATGAGCTGTTGACGCCTCAAGTTGAGATGAACCGGGGATGGATGAAGCTGCAGTAACCAGAGAGAGATGGAGAAGGTTGCAGGAGTTCACAAAGGCAAACTGACGTATATGTGGGAGGATACAACAAGCTAACTCACTCACGCTCAGACAAAGAGGAGGACACCCCCGAAGCCCGAGACTTACACAGACGCACATCCTCGTTAGGGGGACGTCCTGCCAAAGTTGGTTCGGTGGCCAAGATAAGGATTCCACGCCGGACTCACAGGACGCACTAACAATGGGAGACACACAAAGGACTACACAGACTCTGTCACTCGGATAGCATGGTCTTTTATTCACCGTGTGACCCTGGGAAGTTACTTTCAAGCCTTAAAAAGAGGACCAAGAGTAGCAATGTACGGATATTTTTGCAATGCTGGATGGACTTCATAGGATAAACTCAGTCAGCCGGTGGAAACAAGTGGGTAAACTGAGAGACATTGCAGCCAGTGAGATATCGTTTTTGATATGCAACATTTTAAATTAAATAAGCATTTTTTTTTTTGTAACTGTTAGAAAGTTTTGATTCTTTTTACTCACACAGAGACAACTTATTTTGTCTTGAAGACGTTCTGTAATGCGAGCGAGCACTGATGGCTGAGATTCCGACTCCATTACTAGATCGTGTTTTGAAGCACCGTGGTTTTTGTTGGACTCTGTGTGCATTATAGAACAACTGACTTGGAACACAGGGTGCTTTGGTTTCTGGGGTGTCACAGTGACGGATCATATGGAGAAGAAAACGGGAGAAGACATGAAAACAATTGGGAAAAAGAGGATGTTACTGCATATTAACCTTTACATAGTTACTGCCCTTCTCTAGCACCTATAGTAACTTGTTCTTCATCTTCTTGTTTAAAATGATATGAGTTAGGAGACACCATGGCACCTAAAAAAGGTGACAAGAAAGGCAAGTCAGAGGAGCCAAAAAAGGGAGGAAAGGATGATAAGAAGGGAGGCAAAGATGACAAGAAAGGGGGAAAGAAAGTGGAGGAGCCTCCAGCTAAGGGGAAAGGGAAGGATGATGGAAAGAAGGGAAAGGGAAAGAAACCTGTCAGTGAATCAGAGGAGGGGTCAGAAGAAGAAGAAGAAGAAGAAGAAGAAGAAGAAGAGATGAGGACTGAAGAAGATGATGAGAGCGAGGAAGAGGTAGTTATCAAGAAGAATAAAGGGAAGGGGAAAGCAGCTCTGAAAGGCGCATCCAAGGCCATTGCTGTGAAGGGTTTTAAGCCTTCTAAACATGCACCTATGTCTGATGAGGAGGAGGAAGAAACTAGGGCACCGGCGAAGAAAGGAATGGGTGCAATAAACCTGAAAAAGATGAGTAATGTCAACATCAAAGGAGCCTCCAAGGCCATGTTTGGCTTTGCTGCAGAGGGACAGAAGAAAAGCACAGGTGCAGCAAAAACACAGAAGACAGTAGATGTCAAGTCTCACCTTAAAGGAGCCTCCAAAGCCCTCTCAGGCATAACAGGGAAGTCCTCTCTTTTCAGCATGCCCTCTAAGACGGCAGAGAAAGCAAAACCAAAGAGAAACCTCAAAAGCACCTCCCGTCTCTTCCTAAGACTCTCCAAGAAAAAGAAGCCAGCTGCTGGTAGTAAACCACTACTGGGAACCAGCAAGCTTTTTGCTGGGTTTGGGGGTAAATCTGCCGACAAAAAGCCAGGTCTGTCCGGCTTTAGCATGTTCAATAAAAAGGCTGATACCAAGGAAACCCCCCCACCTGCTAAAAAGACTATAAATCTATCCGGTTTAGGGGGAAAGGGGAAAATGGCAACAGAGGCAAAGGGACTGGGAGGGAAGTTGAAAGGCGTGTTTGGGAAAAAGAAAGCAGAATCAGGATTTAAGACTAAAAGCTCGATCTTAGGAAAGATAGCTGCAGCGTCTAACTGGTTGACAGGGAGGTACCTGACTGCTAAGGGCCAAGGCCGGTTGGATGGTCGGGCAGGAAGACGAGGACAGAAGAGTCTGTCTTTTACCAACAGGGACACTAGAGGGAGAGAGTCCTATCATTATAATGAGGCCTATGAGTATGATGACGATGAGTATGGATATGAGGAAGACTACTATGACAGAGAAAGACCTAGAGGTAACCTGAGACAACCAATGACCTATGACCCATATGACCCTTATGGAGAGGATTACTACGACGATGACGAGTGGGAAGATGAATACGGTTACTATGATGATGAGGGCAACTTCTATTACGATGATGAAATGTACTATGAGGAAGACGTCGATTACCCTTATGGCTATTATGATGACGAGTATGAAGAATACTATGCCGATGAAGGGATTGAGTATTACTATGGTGAAGATGGACTTCTGTATGCAGTGGAGCCAGAGCTGTATAGTTACTATGGTAATGCTACGGACGGTTTCTATGACCCAAATGAAACCGAGCTGTACGGAGATTACCTTGACCAAAATATGGGTTATAACTATGGGATGACGGACCCTTATGCCATGATGAGTGGTGGTTATGAGGTTGTTTCAGGCCTGTATAATGACCCAATGCTGGCATACACAGACCCTACTGCTATTTACAACCCCTATCAACCCACTTTCTATACGGATGCTGGGCTGGATCCAGCTGTGACAGGACAACTATATGGACAAGAGCAGCTGTCATACCTGCTTCCTGAGCCAGTTTCAGGAGAGCAGTTCAGGGTCCCCAGGCCCCAGGTTAAGCTATTTGGAAAAGAAAGACTAGAGGTGGAAACCCTGCCACCACCTCCTCTTCATTACCATCCTTCCTCCCCAATGTACGGCCCTCCCTCCCCAGCTCTCGACCTCAACAATCTGGACATGATGTCAGATATACAATATGAGCTTCCCACATACCCTCCTGCTCAGTCCCATTACCCCACCTTCATAAACCAGCAACAAACCCCCATTATTCAAAGACAAGACCCCTCACCAACAGCTATGACTTTTCAACAGGAACACTTCTCTTTCTCTCAGCCTACTTACCCTTCTCTCACCCACATGTCTCCGTCTCCCCTACCACAACAATTTGCTTCCCAAGTGTACCAAACGTCCCTCCCCCAAGACCAATACATGTTCCAGATGGGGCAAATGTCACCAATGGTCACACAAATTCAGCCCCCGATGCCTCCACTAATGCATTCACCAATGCATTCAGCAGTGGCCTCACCCAGGCCAGTGCGACGAATGGGGCCCCTTCCATCCCCACAGTTGTCAATTAGACAAGGATCGGTAAGGACAATAGCACCTCCTTCCCACCGCCTCCCACAACATCATATGGACTTCCAAACCAGCATCAAGGCAGATTCCCATCTTTCCCCTCGCCTTCATAGAAGAGGCCTTTCGCACCAGGCCTCAATGGCAGGCCAAGTGCGAAGGCCTCACAGCCCACCCTCTTCCCCATCATACCAGAGGAGAGGGATGTCAGTTAGAGCCCAGCCAACCCTGTCTAGAGGTAGGGGGAGAGTTGGGTTGCGCAGGGCTCCATCAAATGTCCGACCCCAATCCCCCCTTTCTAGCCCCTTATCTTCACCCCGGGGATCATTCAGAAAGAGAGCAAGCCCACCACCTTCTCCAAGACTCTCTTTCAGACAGCAACCTCCTCCTGATGCTGTGCCTCTTCCATCTACCAGACCACATAAGTTCAAAGGTAGAAATCAAACATCCAAAATGAGGCGTTCCCCTTCCCCTCCCCTACCATCCCCGCAAAGACGGAGCCCACCTATGACTGAAAGACCTCACTCTCCCCCTCAAACTTTTCGCCCCACTTCCCCCTATCGCCCACCTTCTCCTTCGCCATCACGTATCTCCAATCGCCCTCTCCCGACCCGGACCTCTACTCGCAGGCTGAGAGGTGGAGCTGGAGGCCGAAATCATGTGCCCATGGGGGCTGTGAAACCCTCCCCAGCTAATCCTTACTCACAGAGACGCAGTAGACATGGATCCCATGGACCCCCTGTCACTCAACATGTAGCTCCGTTCAGGTCCTCTATACATAGTGGCCCAACGTCTTCCTCAGGACAGATGGGGGGTGTAGCTGGAACACCGATGCTGGCTCGGGCAGGCTCCCGGCCTGCAGGATTAAGAGAGTCCAAGCGAATTGGTACTCCCCAAGGAGGTTTCCACAGACCTGTAGGTAGAGGGCAGCCGTTAGTCAGGATGCCCAGAAACCAGCCCTCTCTTCAATCTAGACAGTCTTTTAGAGGACCTCCTCCAATGCCTCCTGTTTCTCCACAGCCTTCTTTAAAACAGAGTGGCCCTCTTTCTCCCCAGCCATCAGTGCGTAGGCTGCAGAGTAGACCTTCATCTCCCCTTCCACTGCATCGCCAATCTACTCTCCCTTCCCGTTCAGGTTCTCCGATGCACTATATGTCTCGCCCAACGTCCCCGTATCCCCAAAGGGCTATGAGTCCCCAGAGTCTAGGGCCAACATCTTTTCAACCTCAAGCACCTCACCCCAGTTTTGCTCCTGGAACTTTCCAGCCATCTCAGGGTATAACCCATTATGACTACACAATGATGGAGCCAGGCCCTTCCCCCATGCTCACAAATGCTTTACCGAACCCTCAGGTTATAGGTGCTCCCTATCCTCCTTCTCTTCCTTCCTCCATTCCTTACTCCAACACTGCTTACTCTTTACCGAGACCCTCCTCCCCCCAAACACAGTATGAAGTCTACCCTCAAAACCTTCCACATCCTGCACCTTCCTCACCTCATTTGGGGCGCGCACTGCAGAACCCTTATCTGCAGAATGCCAACTACACCACACCTTTACAGAGAAGCCCTTCTCCCATACCTGGTAGCCAGGTGGAGATGTTGGCTGATGTACAGGTGAGCCAGAAGGGGAGTCCATATGCCAGTATTGGCCTATCCAATGCTCTGATGCAGAACTCCCAACTACGCAATGCCTCCTACTCGTCTCCACTACAACGCAATGCAAATGTCTATACACCTGTTTTTTCACCCCCTCAGGCAGTAGCCCCGCCAGCCCCAACTGTTAGCTCCTCCCCATACTTGTCTTCCGGTATGCTTACTTCCCAGCTACGTAATGCATCATATGCTTCACCCCTTCAGCGACACCTTTCTCCCTTATCTCCTGCCCCTCCTCCCCCCACACCTCAACAGGGGACCACGTCATTTCTCTCAGGTGGTTTGCGAACCTCCCAAATCCAGGGATCCATGTTAAGGCTTCCAAGTGGCTCTTTGACTATGTCCCGTGGTCCTGTTGTACCCCCTGTTACCTATGATGGTGGTGGTGGGAGGCTGTCCCCCTCTATGCTCTCCAATGCCCTGCAGAACCCAAGTCTACGTCAGGCCACCTATCGACTACCTGATGGCTCTCTGGTCACCAGAACGGAACCTGTTGTACCTTCCCCAGGTCCGTCACCCCTCTCGTCCTCGATGCTGTCCTCTGCCTTGCTCAATCCCAGTTTGCGGCAAGCCACATATCGTTTGCCTGATGGCACTCTTGTAACAAGGACAGAGCCCACAACTGCACCCTCCCCTTCCTCTCCAATGCTCTCCTCTGCACTGTTAAACCCCAATGTACGTAAGGCCACATACAGGCTGCCTGATGGAACTCTGGTTTCAAGAAATGAGCCATCACCAGAGCCCGCCATCCCTTCACCTTCTATGCTCTCCTCTGCACTGTTAAACCCCCATGTACGTAAAGCCACATATAGGCTGCCTGATGGAACTCTGGTTTCAAGAAATGAGCCATCACCAGAGCCCGCTATCCCTTCATCTTCTATGCTTTCTTCTGCTCTTCTTAACCCTAATGTTCGTAAGGCCTCTTATCGGTTACCAGATGGTTCATTTCTAACCCATCCGGTGGAGGAAAAGCAGAATGCTGTATCATCACCGGGGCTATCTAGCGCCCTGATGAATGCTAACATGCGTCAGGCAAAGTTTCAGCTCCCAGATGGATCAGCATTGTTTTCGCAGAAGCAACCCCAAGCTCCCTCTGGTCCTAACCTTTCTGGTGCTATGTTAAACACCAACGTCCGAGGTGCCTCCTACGCACTTCCAAAGACATCACTATTGAGGCAGCCTGGTTCTGATGTTACCACTGAATCACGCTCCCTTGACCTTTCCAATGCTCTACGTAACAAGAACATCCGATCTGCTACCTACCGTTTGCCTGACGGATCTCTAATGACCCGCCCTCAACCTACTGCTGCACCTCGAACAATTGACCTGTCCAATGCCTTATCAAAGAACCCAAACCTACGTGGGGCAAATTACCGTCTCCCCGATGGTAATATCATGAAACGACTTGGTGCCCCTAGCGCCCCAGAACCACGGTCACTTAATCTCTCTGGGGCCTTGCAGAATGCTAACCTCCGAGGGGCCTCTTTTCGCCTGCCATCATTCGCTGTAGTGTCACCCCAGGTCCAGGGGTCCGGCCCTGAAGAGCACTGGGCACAGGGCCCTGGAGTTGAAGGCTTGGGGCAAGATGTGGATGTGTGGGGTGCAGAGAGAGTTCTACCTCACGGGACAGTGCAGAACCTCAATAAGTGGTCCATGTATAGAGACGGGGAGCTGCTGGATCCCCACAGCCCGATGGGACAGGGACAAGTTGGTCTTGAACAAGGGGAGTGGAATCTGAGCAGGGAGGGGGAACCACAGGGGCAGTGGTATGACAAGGTAACATTTTTGAATACATGACTCTACATACTGTATAAGTGCACAACATAGCTAATGTTGGGCACTATTAGGGATGCTCCGATCGCCAATTTTGACCGATTGCCGATCCGATCGAGTGGGCGGGGCCTATGGAGATCTTCCATTTAAAGTGATGTTTAAAACTCAGTTAATGGGGCTCATTCACTGGAGCTTCCACGAACAACAACCAACATAATTATTATATTCAAATGAAGTACATTATTCAAGTTTACATTAACTTTGGATAATAACACGGGAGAAATGACGGGAGTGCTCTCTTTTCCTCTCTCCCCCTCTCTCTCTCTCCTGACAGTCTGTCAGTATCTCATGCAGCTCGCTGATCCAGTAATGAGTGACCCGACAGTGAAGAATAAATATATGTATAACTAGTTTAGCTAGTTCCAGAGGTAGATACAATAGCTAAGTGTGTTAGGTCTAACTCTTAGTGTGTGTGTTGATCCGCTCACCGGTCCGTCACAGCGGGTGGAGCAGCAGGATTTCAGCTCCACACACGTTGCATACCGCTATTTTATTGTCATTTTCGGACACCTTAAAATACTGCCAGACTGGTGAAGCCATTCTGGCGAGCTTGTTTTGCCGCGCACAGAGAAAAATGTCATGCATTTTACGTCATGCGATCGGCTCTCGCGATCGGCATTTTTAGAGAGCACCGATCGATCGGCAGAGAGTGAATATCGGCCGATATCGATCGGCGGCCGATCGATCGGAGCATCCCTAGGCACTATATTTTAAGACTTTAATGAAATCTTCCTGTTGAATGTGTAATGTTAAGGAAGAAATTCAGAGGGAAGGTAAATTATTTAGGTGAATTATTGGTTGGTTTTAAAAGAGCAGAATATATGATTAGAACAGGTATTGGGCACATTGAGTAAGTAAGGTAATAAGGACATGTTTGGTGAAAGAGGGACACACATGGGTTCTGAATACCATAATGATTAGTTGTACATGTAGGGGAGAGAATTTCACTTCTTCCATTCAAATATTTCCATATGAGGGAGTGCATATATGAATACATGAACCCTTTGGGCACAGAGTTATGTGTATCATCTCGTCATTTCTGAATGTATACCTGTATTTTAGATGTACTCCATCAGAAGCCTGCCCACCATGGCAGCCCGTGAGCAACGAGAGGAAGATGGAGTGGAAGATATGACACAGCTAGAGTAAGTAGAAAATCACAAAAAAGTCCCCTCTTTGTGAGAGATTGCATTATGAAGTGCAAAAGAAATACATTTATAAAAGTGAGATGCAAGGCAATCTGTCACTTGTTGGTGAATTATGACTTTCAATAATTAAGTGCTGGGATGTTTCATTCTCAGAGTAAATAGAGTGATGAATTGCTACTGCTATACTTGAAATACAGTGGTGAGAAATGCCAAAAGATCGATGAAAGAAACTGGTAAAATCCTTTAGTTGATTTGAATTTAGCTCAGTGCAAATATGTGAAGAAATCTTGATGGTAGAGTCATTCACTATACATTCTTTGTTATCCTTAAATGTGTTTGTTCCACTGCTTCGGTCTAGGGAGATGCACGAAGGGGTTGTTCTGCTGAACCTGAGGCAAAGATTTGAGAGGGAGATTATATATGCAAGTATCTGAGCACCACACACATCCAACTACCTGCATACAACGTTGTACTACTGAAACATTCTTGAAAATAGAAATCTGAAGTCAAATCAGTTTGTTTCATTGTTTGTGTTGATCATAAAAACATATTTCTTTCTTTTATTTTCAGACATACATCGGTAGTATTCTGGTTTCTGTGAACCCCTATAAGATGTACAACATCTATGGGACGGACATGGTGCTGCTGTACAAGGGTCATGCTTTGGGAGAGAACCCTCCGTGAGTCATTTCAAACTGTGGGGATGTTAACTGAAAACAAAGTTGTTGTTTTAGTATACTTTTGTATAATATATTTCATTGTAAAAACAATACAACACATATATTAAACTAAGAAATTATGCTGAGATGTTTGAAGTAAAGGAACATAGAATTGTTTAGGTAAATGATTAAGGCTGTACAGGGGATACGGTTAGATATACTGAAGATAAGGATAGGAACAAGAAAATAAGCTCGAGTTAGATTTCATTTCTCTTTAGATATCTGAGCTTGACTCTTTCTCTTTCAGGCATTTGTTTGCCATAGCAAACGCTGCTTATTCCAAAATGATGGATGCCAATCACAACCAGGTCATAATAATAAGGTAAGAGTACGACTCTCTTCATAATCTTCTCAAATGTTCAATAATTAAAAATTACTTTCCGTGTTTCTGCAAACCAGACATCACCAAGTTCACAACTAGATATACTTGATACATCCAGAGTTTCATCCACAGCTTATCTACCTGCAAAGAAGTCATACTGTACACCACACATTACGCCTGGTGCACCTGGCCTTTGTAGGATTTAGGGTTTACATGAAAATAACAGAACTTGGATATTCTTTGACATTGAAGTTGCAAATGACAGAAAAAAAATCATAAATAAATGAGAAAAAGATTGGAAAATTATTTTCAACAACATTTTCCAAGAAAAAAATGAAACGACATGTCAAAGAATAATTCTTCCTTACGCCTAAGATATTTAACCTTTCTGTGTGTTGACGTTTACGACCAACCCTGACTCTGTTATCTCCCGTAAGGAATGTGCTAATGCATATGTTGATATTTCTCTATGACCGGTCAACTCTCGGTCACAGAGCCTAAGAGTCAGACAAGTGATTGAGTGTTTCCAGGTGTTGGGGTATCTCCAGTGTTCCCAGCTGTTGATTAACTCTCTGTAAACTAGTTAAAAGGTCTATCGAGAGAGAGACTGGGCAGAATTGATGTGGCAACTCTCCGGGCAGTCAGAACCTCTGGCTGCTGTGACTTCCATCCATCCATCCATCTTCTCCCGCTTATCCGTGGTCGGGTCTCGGGGGTAGCAGTTCCAGCAGAGAGCCCCAAACTTTCTTTTCCCTGGCGACATCAACCAGCTCTGACTGGGGGATCCCAAGGCGCTCCCAGGCCAGCGAAGAGATATAATCCCTCCACCTGGTCCTAGGTCTACCCCTTGGTCTCTTCCCAGCTGGACGTGCCTGGAACACCTCCCTAGGGAGGCGCCCAGGTGGCATCCTAACTAGGTGCCCGAACCACCTCAACTGGCTCCTTTCGACGCGAAGGAGGAGCGGCTCAACTCCGAGTCCCTCCCTGATGACCGAACTTCTCACCTTATCCCTAAGGGAGACGCCAGCCACCCTGCGGAGAAAACCCATCTCGGCCGCTTGTATCCGCGATCTCGTTCTTTGGGTCATGACCCATCCTTCATGACCATAGGTGAGGGTAGGAACGAAAATGGCCCGGTAGACAGAGAGCTTTGCCTTCTGGCTCAGCTCCCTTTTCGTCACAACGGTGCGGTAAAGCGACTGCAGTACCGCTCCCGCTGCTCCGATTCTCCGGCCCATCTCACGCTCCATTGTTCCCTCACTCGGGAACAAGACCCCGAGATACTTGAACTCCTTCACTTGGGGTAAGGACTCATTCGCTACTTGAAGTGGACAGTCCATCGGTTTCCTGCTGTGACTTGTGATGTGAAATTCTCCGGCCGATATTTGTAATAAAACACCAGTGTTTGACATCAAAGCTCCAACTCTCCTCGTGTCTCTCTGAGTCCTGACTCTCCATTGCTGCAGAAGTTTCCCTTACACGACAAATATTGATTAACAATCCACAATTATTTACTCTTGTTGGATTAACCCAATATTACAAAAACATATTGTGTTCTAGTGAATATGTTGCTTTAATCTCTGAGCGGATTTGTGACTTTCTAATATTATATTGAAACAACTTTTCCCTCTGAATACTGCCACCTTTCCTCGCTGGTCATTTTCATTTTTTTTCTTTTTCATTATTATTTGTTTGCACACACCCTAATATGTCTTTGCAAACCTAATGTGCTAAAACAGTTTTAACATTATAATCTTGCCTCGTGCAACAAGACAGACTTTTTGCACATCATTAGTAACCTTCTGGGTTAGCAGCAGTTTAACCTTGGTATACCCACAGTGTCCATCAAGCTCCTTGGACAGTTAGGTTTCCATCTCCAGTTGGATAAGTGTTTGTATATTCATGAGTGTCTGTCTGTGGTTTTCTGACAGGTAAACTTAAGACAGGCACCTCTCATTGTCACAGCTGTTCTCCACACACAAACAGATGCCTGTTACATCTAACTCTGATCAAAACAATAGACACATACAGAGAAATAGCCATAACTCTCATAGTAAATACAAAAACGACCACACTCGCACACAACTGGAACACTCTAGCCATATTCGGAAGGAGATACCTGTAAGGAAAGCCCAGCCAGGTCTGGGCCAGGAACAGATTATCTTTCAGAGGTGTGTGTGTCCGAGTACACGTGTGCGGAACCTGTGTTTGTGTGTGAGTCACTGAGTGCGTGTTAAGGGGTTACTGAGGTCCAGTGACTAGTATTGGCTCTGTTTTAACCAGCCTGTGAGTCGAAACCCTATGCTGAAATGTGGTCAAAGTGTCGGTGTCTCTAAATACACCCGCAAACACGCACATAAACTCCCGCCCCCCCTTTGGCAAAGCTGACATAATGGTGGTATTTAGCGCTAAACTGTTGGCAGTGATGAAGCACAGTGTGTGTTTCAGGTGGTTTGGCGCAAAAGTGGAATTGAGGCCTTACCTAATGCAAGATTAGCTGGGTCTCAAATCACTTAGTCAATTAAGTCAAACCCTTCTCAAGCTCCAGTAGGCAAGTGAGAAGTATCATATACTGGACTCTCTAAGTGATTAATAAACGCTGGGTGTAATGCTGCCCAAAGTGCAGATAATGTTCACTGCTAATGATCTTGTACTCTGACTTCCAAATAACTGGACTTTTCACTTCTTTACCTTGAAGATAAATGGATTATCATTCTATTTAGAGAGTCCATCCAGTCCATACATTTATACTATATACTATCTCACCTATTACCAACCCCCCAAACGATATAGTTAAGAAGGCAATGTTGTAAATGCAAGACTTAACTGACAGAAAAGTGAGAAAAAGTACGACTTCAGCACCACGGACAGCGCCATGGATTTCTCAACTCACAGCAAAGATAGTCTAGTGATATTTCAAAGTCATGATCAGGGCTATACATTCTAATTTGCACAGATCAGGTAGACTAGACATATTGTGTAAAATAGTGTCTGAATGTGCCTGTGGGTATCCTCACTCCCTATTGGACACTATATCTTTTATTCATATAGCCCATTTGTTGTTGAAATGTGCTACTTTATGTTCCTTCCTGCGTTTCAGTGGAGAGAGCGGGTCTGGGAAAACAGAAGCCACCAAACTGGTCCTTCGCTATCTAGCAGCAATGCATCACAAATGCAATCTTGTGCATCAGGTACGCACAAGTGCTTGAACCACGCACACAGACAGGCAGACACACACACACTCACACAAGATGACTAATGTCTCTGTGCGTCTTCTTTTCCATGTCTTTGTTTCTCTGCTGGCTCTTCTTGGGTTCAGATTGAGGTAATGGGGTTCCCTGCATGATTTAAAATGGTTACAAATCATCTTCACTTACTGTATGACCATAAGAATAGCAGCTTGCTGTGTTTTGATGTGGCGTGCGTGACAATATTCATCAGAGATGTTGTGTTTTCTCATGGATTTTTTTCACTTGCTTCAATAAAAAGTCTGTCGTGTGTGTGTGTGTGTGTGTGTGTGTGTGTGTGTGTGTGTGTGTGTGTGTGTATGCTGTAAACATTAACAAAGGATGGCACACTGTCAGTTTGTCACCTAGCTAACAAAACATTGTCCATTTACTGTGTGTTTGTTTTGCAGATACTTGAGGCTGCTCCTCTGATGGAATCTTTTGGAAATGCCAAAACTGTACGGAACGATAATTCAAGTCGCTTCGGGAAATACATAGAGATCTTTCTGGAGGAGTGAGTATAGAATCACTTGTTCTTTATTATATTATGTTTACATTAGATATACTTTAGTGATCCCAAAGTTTATTATTATAATTGTTCTCCTCTACGTCTTGCCCTCTTGTTCTCTCGGTCTCTCGGTCCAGTGGTGTGATCAGTGGTGCCATAACCTCTCAATATCTACTGGAAAAGTCCCGTATCGTCTTCCAGGTGACAGACACCGACGAACACACAAGATCACCCTCAATATCTTTTCTGTGTAAGAAAGTTTTAAATCTGTGTTTCCCTTCAGGCCAAAGATGAGAGGAACTATCATATCTTCTACGAGATGCTGGCAGGTCTTCCCTCGCAGCAGAGGCAGGCTTTCTATCTTCAAGAGGCGGAGACCTACTATTACCTCAACCAGGTAGAGGACACAATCCTGTGGAGATACTGGGGTTAGATATTAAAGGTCACCTATTGTGCAAAATCCACGTTTTCCTGTCTCTTCTACATCAACATGTGTCCCCTCTTCTTCATGTCTCTTCTACATCAACATGTGTCCCCTCTTCTTCATGTCTCTTCTACACCAACATGTGTCCCCTCTTCTTCATGTCTCTTCTACATCAACATGTGTCCCCTCTTCTTCATGTCTCTTCTACGTCAACATGTGTCCCCTCTTCTTCATGTCTCTTCTACATCAACATGTGTCCCCTCTTCTTCATGTCTCTTCTACATCAACATGTGTCCCCTCTTCTTCATGTCTCTTCTACATCAACATGTGTCCCCTCTTCTTCATGTCTCTCTTTCTGTCCTGATCCATTTCTATAAAAACCTGTCTGAAAATGAGCTGATCAGATTTTGGCCACTTTATGATGTCATAACGATGATTTGTCTTGTGTAACCATTAGCCAATCAGCAACCAAGGTACCCCCCCCCCCCACCTTATCACCTGAATCTCCTCCTAGAGCACCATTGAGTTCTTTGTAACCAAATGTCTCTCAGAGGGGCGTGGGGAGGGGCTCCTTATTTTCATCTAAAGTCACAGACAGAGAATCAGCACTTTGGAAACAGGGCTGAAACAGAGGGGATTATGGGTAATGCTGCTATGATCTGTTTGGGGTTTGGAGCAAAACACTTCAGAGACATGTTTTGTATATATCTGACACCTATAATATATTGATGAAAAACAGTATAATAGGAGACCTTTAAGTGTGCTTTTAACTGTCTTTCTGTCCTTAAAGGGGGGGGATTGTGGGATAACAGGAAAGAATGACGCAGAGGACTTCCTGCGTCTGCTCGCTGCCATGGAGATCCTGCACTTCACCCCTGACGACCAGTCGGCCATCTTTAGAGTTCTTTCTTCCATTCTGCACCTCGGCAACGTCTACTTCCAGAGGCATGAGGTAATGTTTCCAGAGAGATCTTTCTCTCTTCGTTTTTGATTGGTTACATGTGAGGCATTTTAAACACTCATTAACATACACATTTGTTGTACATTTGTTTTATTATTTGGGCCATCCAGATGATGTTAAGGAGCTAATGAGACATGAACTACATTTAAATGAAAAGGATATGGGTTTATTTATTGTCTCCTTTTACTGTGGTGATATATGACAATACTAACTATATCACTAAGGAGCTTTATATTACTATTTCTTTATATTAACAACTTGAAAAGATCTGCAACAACACTGAAGACGAAAATACTTAAAACGAAACAAAATTATACAAAATAAATAATTATTTATTATATTATTATTATTATTATTATTACTTTTAAACACTTGTACCAAAAAACATCCACAACTCCCTCAACACTTACAACCACTTCCACACCCATCAGCAAATGTATCTTATTTTGCATTTATTTATGTAATTATTCATTTAAAAAAGGGTACAATGAAATACAAAAATATGATGATAATCAAAAAAAGGGCAATACCAATAACTAGATTATAATGAGTATATGGATACCAGATGAAGTGTTCTGTCTTTCTCTTGCCGTGCTGCGCGTCAGGCCGACGGCCAGGAGATGGCGTCAGTGGTGAGCGCTCAGGAGATCAGAGTGGTGGCCGAGCTGCTGCAGATCTCTCCGGAGGGATTACAGAAAGCCATCACATACAAAACCACAGTCAGTATCAAAATGTAGTTACTGTGCATGTGTGTTTAAATCCCTGCCTCATAGCCAAAAACAAAGACTTATTTTTTCAGTTGTAAAAAGTCTATAGAAGTAAACAACATGGACAACCTGAATAAGTTGTTAGAGACCAGCAATGTCAACTAAAACATTTTAAGACAGTTTTTATCCTGATATTTTCTAAAAAATAAATTGTCTTAGCTGTCGTGTCATCTTCTCTGAAACCTCGGTCAATCTACCTGGCACGTTGCAGGTTTTTAAAATGTATTTCTGTTACCTGGGAAGTGTTTTCCCTCTAATCTCTGACCCTGTGGTCATTCATTCATTATGCTTTGAATCTCAAATCAAATCTGACCTCATGTAGAGCTGCCTGATTCTGTTTCTGTGTGGTGACAGAATCCCTTTATGACACATGTCAAACACTTTCCATTACTCACAATGTAACTACAGACTTCGATATGTCAGCATTCATTAGTTGCGCATATGGCTTACACTCACAACACACATGTCCACACACACATCCTCCTGTACACACAGCACAGTACACATGCAGGAAGAAACACATACATATGTAGAGTGATGCTTCTGGCAGTGGAATCAGCCTTGTTTTGTTTGCAGTCCGTATATTAGACGGTATGTATGTTTTATAAATAGCCACACTCAGCCGAGCACAAAAGCAACATCTTGAGGGATGGGACATTTTGCATCATAGCCTTTTTAAATAAGATTCCTGCTTTTCTGCACCAAAACAGCATTTCATATTTATTTGAAAGGCTTATACTCATTGTCTCTGTGTCCTTTAGCCTGTTACCAGGCAGGAGCTGAAGCCCAATCGTTTTGGATCTCAGGAACTCCTCTGAAAACACATTTTAGTCAGGACTAATTTGCAAATATCTGGCTTGCTTCAGATTTAGTTGTCGACAGAAGAGATGGCACTCACATCCAAAAATCGTAAGAAGATAAAATAATGAATAATACAAATGATAAAATATGTCCCCCATTGTACTTCTTTGCTTCAGGCAGGTGGTTTCCAAGGAGCACTAATTATTAAGAGTTTGATTATCCAAATAAAGATTTCAAAAGGTTTTACATCAAACCAAAACAGCAGATTTTAAAAGACAATAATCTTAAATCCAGCTGCAATCTCCCTCACTTCTTCAGGACATTATTCTCCTTAATCACCACCACTGTTAAGAAGACACTCAATCCAATGTATCAGTAGTTTAGTGTTTCCAATGTACCAAATCAAGACCAAGTGCTACTGAGGTGTCCCTGAGCAAGGCACCGTTCCCCACACTGCTCCCCGGGCGCCGTTCAAAATGGCAGCCCACTGCTCCTAACACTAGGATGGGTCAAATGCAGAGAAACCATTTCCCCACGAGGGATTAATAAAAGTCCATCTCTCTACAGCATTAAACATACTCATTTGTTCAGTATTACCTTAAAACGTAAGTAAAAAAACCCAGTAGCTTCTAAAAACTGAAAAGGCAAAATGGACATTTCAGCACCCCTCTTACATGTTTTACTTTTTTGCCTTTTGCCACAGGAGACGATGAGGGACAAAATCTACACCCCGTTGACTGTGGAAAGTGCTGTTGATGCCAGGTGAGCGACAGCTGCATATTCAATACATGAACATGTTTAATAACCTTTCATATTTAAATCATTTGTTTCTGTTGACATAAAGAGACTTCAATCTTCAAAACCTGTGAGAGAGTTATGTTTGTTAACTCTTACATGCCCCTTAAAGACTTGATGTTTCCCATGACTTCCAATTCATTATTTCTCGCACCACTTTAAAAGATAATGGTGCATTTTTATTTCCATACAACATTCCTACCCCTCTCTGTTATTGTCCGTCTTTCACACACAAGTCTTTGTTCTCCAGAGATGCTGTTGCCAAGATCCTGTACTCGCTGCTCTTCCATTGGTTAACAGAGAGGATCAACGCTCAGGTGTATCCCCGCCAACACTCCCTCTCCATCTCCATCCTGGACATTTACGGATTTGAGGTACAACGAAAGCACACAGTCTTGCTACCTGTCTGTCACTTTGTTGTGTGGCACTCCAGGAATACTCCAGTGTGTGTGTGTGTGTGTGTGTGTGTGTGTGTGTGTGTGTGTGTGTGTGTGTGTGTGTGTGTGTGTGTGTGTGTGTGTGTGTGTGTGTGTGTGTGTGTGTGTGTGTGTGTGTGTGTGTGTGGGAACAACAGGATCTGGCCTTCAACAGCTTCGAGCAGCTTTGCATTAATTATGCAAACGAATACCTGCAGTCCTTCTTCAACAGGATCGTTTTCAGGGAGGAACAGGGGAGTCAACGTCTCACACACGCCACACACACACACCAAAATGTATCTACATTAGTTATGGAAGTTTAGTCATTTTATTCGTAAGTGTTATTACATGTGATCCCCATGCAGGAGGAGTACAGACGGGAACAGATCCCCTGGCAGGACATCCCATTCAGTGACAACCAGCCCTGCATCGACCTCATTGCCGCTAAGCCTCATGGGATGCTGAGGATCCTGGACGACCAGAGCTGTTTCCCACAGGTGGGGCAGAAAATAGCTTTGTACCTATATGTTACACACACACATTTAAATATCACTTAGAGCAGGGGTGCCTACACTTGTTTGGCTTGTGAGCTACTTTTGAAATGACCAGCTCAACAAGGTCTACCAACCAAAAATGTAATTCCAAATTGCAAGGGGATGAACAACAAAAGCTTTAACACATTTTATTTAGACATGAACAGAAACAAATACATGTGCTCTAAGTCTTAGAGTCTTCTGCTTTGTTGCTAGGCGACAGACCACACCTTTCTCCAAAAGTGTCACTATCACCACGGCAACAACCCATTGTATATGAAGCCAAAGATGCCCCTCCCGGAGTTCACCATCAAGCACTTCGCTGGACGGGTCACCTACCAGGTACGCAGCTCCTGATTGGCTTATCTCGAGTGACAAAACCTGCTATTGGTTTTCCAGTTGGCCAAAATGTATTGGATTGGCTGACATTGACAATAATGTCATTGATAACATATGATCAGTAACACAAATGAGAAAAATACATTGAGAAACAACGCAAAACACTGCTGGAAGAGAGGGAAACATCAACTTTTCCCTGATAGATTCTAATCATTTGTGACGTCAATAACACAGGTTTACAAGTTCCTTGATAAGAACTACGACCAGGTCCGACAGGATGTTCTGGACCTGTTCATTCAGAGCAAGAACAAGGTGAGAGAAGAGAACCATATTCCAACATATCTCACGTGAATAAATGTGTTTCAGTGAAATGTTTTTCTTTGCGTCCAGATGGTGTCAAACCTCTTCCTGGTTCACGCAGAGGTCACAGGTCAGCAGAGAGGTCACATGAGGAAGAGCAGCACGGTCACCAGGAGATACCAAGCGCCCACCGTCAGCAACAAGTTCCAACAGTCTCTGCTGGAGCTGGTGGAGAAGATGGAGAGGTGAGCCTGACAGAAGAGGAGATGTTTACCCTCAGAAAATAATTTCATAGCACACAGTTGCTGCCCACAAACTGTCCCTATTATCAGTAAAAAACTAAACAAATATAGTTTATAATTAACAAATTAAATTGCAATGTTGTTTACTTTTCTTTCGTTTCAGGTGCAACCCTGTATTTGTACGCTGCATTAAGCCAAATAATATGAAGGTACTGTAGGTTTTCAGACTTTCTGTTCTTCTCAGTTTCCTGACATTCATTGTTTTTCAAATGTACGTTTTTCTGTGTTTAGCAACCGGGTGTATTTGAGGACGAGATGGTCGGCAGTCAGCTGAGACACTCAGGTGTGCTCGAGACCATCAGGATCCGAAGAGAGGGGTATCCTGTCAGAATGCCATTCTACATCTTCCTGTTCAGGTAACACACGCACAGTGGTAATCACAAGTTGGTGGGAGGCCCTTTGGTGGAAAGGCACTAGGTAGTTTGTATGGGAAGTGATATCGAGTTGTGATATGGAAGTTGTGATATGGAAGTTGTGATATGGAAGCCATGAGAGGCAAGTGAGAAAAAACTAAACATTTCCTTCATCTATTTTCAAAGTATATTCTAATTATTCTCTCTGCGTTGAGTATGCCTGAAAAACAGTAGAATAATCAGAATAATCTTATTGGAGAAGATTCTTTTTGTATCATTTTCTTCTTCATTCTTTGACCACCTGTGGCAAAAATGAGTATTATAACAAGAAACACATCATCTGGACAAAAAAGCACATTTTTTCTCCATAGATACAAATAAATAAATTAAAGGAATCTGTAGAGAATGAAAACAGTTGAAAATATATTATTTTTAAAGCCAATGTATTTGTGTATAAGTGTACATATGAGTATGTGAATGTGTCTTCCTCAGGTATAAGTCCCTGGTGGGGTTACGAGAGCCTCCAGCAGCGAATGGAGACAACTGTATAATAATGCTCAGCAAACTGTGTCTTCTCCGGCCTGGAGACTTCCACGTTGGAGTCACAAAGGTGAGTCTCTCCTCCTATTTGTTAATGCTAATTCTTCACAAAACTAGCAAGGCAATACTTATAACATGTACTTGTGTGAATGGCAGCTGTTTCTGAAGGAGGACATCTACCAGTTGTTGGAGTGTAAGCGGGAGCGCTCCCGTCAGCTCGCCGCTCTCACCCTGCAGCGCTACACCCGCATGTTCTTCGTCAGGAAACGCTTCGTAGCTTTTCGCAGGAAGATAATCGGGCTGCAGGCTCAGTGCCGAGGCTTCCTCACCAGGTCGGCTTCTCTAACGCTGATAGTTTCAGAGAAATCTAATTGTTTGTCAAAAGCAACAAAGTAAAAAGCTTGATTTATCTGATGGATAAGCATTTATGTAAACTAATGTACTTACTTTTATCTAGATTGTATAACCTAGCAGTGAGGAAAACCAATGAAGGTTAACAACAATACACTTTTTTAATGGTAACACATGTTTGTAAAAATGATGGTACATTTTGAGAGACGATCATTCATTTAAACCAATGGTTGGCCACAAATGACCTAAAGTTTCTGTTTTCTTTTGGTCATATTGGATATCAAACAGACAAGCATGATGATAACTGCAAAATGAATGCATATCAATTGAGAAGGAAACGTTTTAATACAAACTATTGCCTCATATTAAAACTCACTGCATGTTATCCAAAAATCTAAATTGTTTTATAAAACTGAGCCAAATCCTGGCTTAAAAAACACATTTTAGCAGGGACTTCTGAAACAATTACTTGTAGCATGCCTACAACGTTTGTCCCGTGTATTTGTAGCAAGAGTTATCAAAATATGACATTAGGAGAACATTTGTTAACGTGGTGGTTCTCAAATTCTTAACTCTGCCTTCCAGGAAGCGCTATGTGAAAATGAGGCAGAGTCTGGTTCGGTTTCGCTCTCTCGTCCACATGTACGTCAACCGCAAGCAATACATCAAGGTACATAACTGAATCAGGCATATACTGTTAAAAACATTGCCCACTTTTGTGACAATTTAGTGCTTTAACTCTGTCTTACTCTTGTTTGACTTGTGTATGATTTCTGTTTCAGATGAAGTTTGAAGCCCAGAGGATAGCTGAGGAGGAGAGAAGGAGGAGAGAGATGGTAAAATGGACGTTTTGACAGGATAAATAGGGACTTCATCAGAAATGTATCTGTAAAAGTAGTATCTTCTTTTCCCACAAGACAGTAAAAAACAACTCTTTCAGGAGCTGACCAGGAGGGAGGTGGTGAACGTCACACACCTGGTGATCCCTGCAGAGCTGGGAGCGTTACTGCTGGCAGCCGGAGGTCTGTCAGTGTCCGTCATCTGTCTTCCTGTTTGAGAAGTGACATTAAAGTGCAAACACAGATTATTCATGAGCCCAATAGCTGAGCTCTCACTGAATGTGTCTCATCTCATCAGCACTAAAAGTGTCATCTCCAGGACTGACTTGAATATTCCTGACAGAGTGGTAGCAGTTGATAAATAAACCATGCATTTCAATTTTTCATAAAGATTGTCAACTTTATCCCTCAAATGTCGTGTCTATTGAGCTTCAGCAGTGGACATTTAAAGTATAACAGTATATCATGTTTATCTATGTTTATTAAAGTGTTCTTTAATTGTAATGCTGAATATATATGCTCCTGTGTTCTGTGCTCCTACAGTATACAGTAGGGCTGCTTGATATATCGTGTTGTGACGATAATCGCGATATGCGCGATATTCACATCAGGACGTGCGATTTAAAAAAAAAAAAAAGGACGTGCGATATTAAGGAGGCTAATTAACTCAAACACGTCATGTTACAATTATTTTACTGCTTGCTTCAAAAGGAAAACTCGCTCATGTCAGGGGTACTTGAGTGACAGCAAATCACAATCAAATCTCCAAAGCAACCGGACCCGGTGATTAAAGGTAAACACACTGAATAAAGTCGTTTCATGTGTTTCTCCAGGGCAGTTGGGCGCATGCTAACCGAGCTAGCTCAGCTTGCTGCTCTGATAACTTTAAGACTCAGACGTCCGTGACTAAAATCCTTCATCCGGTTAAATATAGTTAGACAAATACCAATTGTATAGCACTAAAGTTAAAGAAAGGATGGTTTGCGGACAAAAAAAACTGTCTTTTCTTCAATTTCTTTATTTTTTCATATCGCAATATATATTGCAGGGGGAATACATCGCAAAGTCAGTTTTTTCCAATATCGTGCAGCCCTAGTATACAGTATATCTTTCTATATTTGTAGCTGACTTGCAGTTTGTTGTTTCTCTCTGTTTCCAGTCAGGAGGGAGTTGCACTCAGACTGTCTGGCTCTTCTTCAAACTCCTCACATCCAGGAAGAAGCTCAACTCACCCTGCCTCTGGACATCAACAACTACCCGTTTTTCCGCTATGTGCAGATCTACTTTAGGGTGAGACACTGAGTGTAACAGTATACTCACAGTTGTTGGGGAATATTTTCCAAGGCCCATAACTTTGACCCAGTTGATGAGGTTCAAACTAACCTGACTGAGCACACGCACCTCGTAACCTTGGCTGCTGTGCTCTCAGTGTTCTGTCTCCCTGTTCCTGCCTGTTGGCGTCAGCTGATAGAGGGGTTATGATTCTATGTTCCTGCCTGTTGGAGTCAGCTGATAGAGGTGTTATGATTCTATGTTCCTGCCTGTTGGCATCAGCTGATAGAGGTGTTATGATTCTATGTTCCTGCCTGTTGGCATCAGCTGATAGAGGTGTTATGATTCTATGTTCCTGCCTGTTGGCGTCAGCTGCTAGAGGTGTTATGATTCTATGTTCCTACCTGTTGGCGTCAGCTGATAGAGGTGTTATGATTCTATGTTCCTACCTGTTGGCTTCAGCTGATAGAGGTGTTATGATTTTATCTTGTTATGCAGCATGTTGATGATGCTCTCGGAACTAGCTAAATACAGGGGTCTGGGGTAGAGTTCTTCAGAATTGACGAGGCAACTCTCCCGTGCAGTCAGATCGTGGCTGCTGTGACTTGTGATGTGAATTCTCCGGCGGAAGCTCCAAATAAACCATCAGTGTTTGACATCAAAGCTCCTGCTCTTCCCGTGTCTCTTTCCTGAGTCGGTGACTCCCACTGCATTGCTGCTGCACAGAAGTTTCCCTTACAACAGTCAGCGCTCAAGGATCAGATCACCATGCTGTAGATATACAGTAAATTCAAACATTGTGAATGTTGTGTTGCTGTAGGAACCAAAGTTTGGGATGTTGACGGCGCCTCTGGAGTCTCCACTGACCCGTGTGGAGGAGGACCTGAAAGGAGAGGCTCTGCAGCTCTTCATCATGGTACACTCCATTCTCTCATGAACACGGCACTTCACTGATTATACATTTTCACACATTCACACGGGCGTTGATCTTCTGGATAAACAATGTTTTTCAGACCAGCAACAAAAAGGAGGAAATAGAAACCATTTTAAAACCCACACTTGCCTTTCCCCATTTTCCTTGAGCATGACAGACCAACTAGTTAAAAGTCTTCTAAAAACGTTGTCACTTACCGTCTGGGGCCAATCAGGGAGGACAAATGAAGAAACACATTGTTTGTTCGTCACTTTCAAAAGTATGTTCCTAAGTCTGCATACAGGGGAGGTATTTAAACGTAACAAAATAGTCTTTTAAGCCTCAGACAGTCAAATGATAATGTGAATAACTAAGAAACAGTTCCTTGAGGCCAGGTCATTTGAAACTGTATTTTCATAGAATATCTCTCTTATCATTGCTTTACCCAATTTGACATTAAGGCAGAAATCCAGACACATTTAAAGAAATGCTACAACAATACACAATATTCTACGAGGCAGTTAGTTGTCATTGGTTTTTTTATTTCAGGTACTGCGATTCATGGGGGACCCTCACCTGAACGGGGCTCAGGAAAACATGTTTGGGAACTACATCATCCAGAGGAGCCTGTCGTCTCCAGGGTTACAGGACGAGATCCTGGCTCAGGTGGTGAACCAGGTGTGGAGGAACGTGAACTCTGAGAACGCCGAGCGAGGCTGGCTGCTGCTGCTGGCCGGCGTCTGCAGCTTCGCCCCCTCCGCCAGGATGGACAAATATCTACTCAAGTAAGACAGGACTTCTTGTGTTTAGAGGAATCATTGAAAAAATACGAACTTCTACGGGCAAATGGGAATGGGGTAGTAATGTAATACATGTAGAATGAAGAAAAACATTTACACAACAGAAAATAATAACTATATACTTTTAACGTTTATGTATAATTCTAGTGATTTTTTATCTGCATCATAATTTGTATGGATTTTTCCTTGGCTCATGTTAGACATTTTCTCCAAGTTTCATAAAAACCTTTGTTAGTTTTTCCATAATCCTGCTGACAAACAAACCAAAAAACAAAATATCGTCTTATTTGGAATCATATAACATGTATGCGAATCCATTTTGAAAGGCTAAATAAGTAGAGGCAGGTAGCACATCATTATATTAAAGGAAATATACTTTGAAATTTGACCTTTTTAAAAACCTTTACTTTAGTACTTCACTTTTATTTTTTCAAATATATAAATGTATCCAAATATTTTACTATACTAGAAGGTTAATTTTCTGTTAACAAAACATGAAAAAACGATGTTTTACGAGACATAAAAACTTACTTTCAATAAAGGCTGTGACCTCAGGTGACCTTTCCTCTGCAGGTTTGTTTCTGACCACGCCCCCGCTGGTTGCCAGGCGCTGCTGCAACACAGGCTAATTCAAGCCAATCAGAAGACACACCTAGGGTCTGGCTCCACCCCCGAGACTGCACGGACCTATCCGCTGTCGCTCCTGGAGTGGACGGCCAATAGGAAGAAGGCTAACATGGTGTTGCACGTGCACTGCTTTGACGGTGAGATTTTCCCCGCTTTTTTCTAACAAAATATCTCGCAGCTTCCTAGCGTAACATTCAAGGGACGATCAAGGGACAGAAACCACACAATATTCACAAAATGTTCCTCTTTAATTGTTATTTTACCATCAGTTGTTCAACAAATCTTTCGTTTATTTTAAAAATGGTCACATAGAAAACATTAGACTTCATATTAAATATCAAGTAAGCAGTTGTAAAGGAGCACACGGCTCAAATACAAGCGAGTGTGTGGCAGAGACTGCTGGCACTACTTTTATCGAGTGGGATCCATTACAGCCCCTGGTCATTGATAATTCATTGCCAGTAAGTATCAGGTGATGGAACTACTATACCGGGCTCTCGGGCCTCTAAATGGCTCAGTTTACTGTATTTTGCTTTGGTGCGACTCCAATCTGAGTGATTTAAAAAGCACAGTGGAAAGGGACAGTTAAATTAAGGTTTCTTTGTTTGTTTTCCCCACAGGCGCATCGTTCCTGTGTCCGGTCCATTCCTGGACGAGTGGGGAGGAATTAGCAGGGGACATTCTGCGCCACAGGTGCTGATATTTCATATTTAAAGTGGAAACAGACAACCTTTATTTCCCCTCTATCCACTAGTGTTTTCACTAGTTTCCACTTCCTTTGTGCTATAAATCAGGCCTTAGTTTTTCCACGAGATTGTACCTATCCTTGTTAAAGAAAATTCATTGTGAATCATTGTAATAATGACCAAAAAATTGTCTATTGTCACCTACTGTACAAGACACACAAAGTTAGGCTAATTAATGTAAGGCATTCATTTTCAGCTCTAGTTCTCCTTAGCTAGTTGTGCTATTTCCTTTTTTTAATTTCTACGTATATGAATAACCTTTTAAACCGTTCTGTATTTCTTTAATCTTCCTACTTGAACCTACAGTATATGTTAATCTTGTATTTGTACCACTTTAATGAGCATACCATTTCATTATATTCTTCATACTCTTCAATATATTCCTTTTACTGCAAAAAATACAAACTGTAGTGTTGTAAAATATGTGCATTATTTAAGTAGGTATAAGGGGGTATTTCAAAATACATGTTGGCTTTCTTCCAGAGGGGTGTCGGACTGGTGGAGGGGGAGTTCAGTCCTGATGAAGGAGCACGGCCAGTGGGTGGAGTTAGCGGGTCACGACTATGTGATGGACCTGATCTCAGACCTGGAGCTTCCTCCTGACTTCCCAAAGCAGAAGAGCTACTTCATCATCAGCAGCGACGACCCGGCCAGAGTCAGAGCCAACGCCAGCTTGTCAGTTCACAAACAAACACACACATGCATGTTTAAATAACTGAGATCTAGTTATTTACACTAACTATCTAATTTACCTCGTAAAAATGTACCTTTCCTTCCAATCTCTCCCCTCCTCTCAGTGCTCTGTTTGGCAGTGGCTTTGATTCTGATGAGGATCTTCCTCTCAGAAACAGCAGACCAGCCTACAGTCTGCCGGACTCTGACGGTTACCACAGCCACGGTACACACACACACACACACACACACACACACACACAATTATATCCCTCATACGTTATGCATGTATTACCAAGAATATATACAGGACTAGCAAGTCTTTATACATCTATTGGATTTGAAGACAAGGTCAGATTTACATTTTGTTATAGAACAAGTACATATAATTGCACCATATTTTATAATATAGTTAAGGTTTCTTGTAATTAAAAACGTACATGATGTGATGTGTTGAAAGCTGCTCTGCTGTGTGTCTGTTCAGTGGAGTCCGATGCGTTCAGTGACGGTCAGACTCAGAGAGGGATGGACCGGTACCTCGACAGTCTGTTCGACCCGGTGCTGTCAGACAGCAGCATAGTGAGTACTGGCCCTCTGCTTTGTAAATATATTAACACCTCTACCTTTAAAGTGGACCTATCATGCTATTTTTAGGCAATAGCATAGGTCTCAGATATATACAAAAATATAAAAACATGTCTATGAAGTGTTTTGCTCAAAATACCAAACAGATCACTCATTCTAGCCATGCCTCATATCCCTCTATTTCACTTCCTGATTCAAAAGTGCTGATTTGGGGTATAAAGCTTTAAAAAAAAGGAAATTGATAAATAAAAAGGAGGGTCTGAGCTCATGCGGGACCCGGCAGCTACTGTCTAAACTAAATACTGCCGTGATGAAACGCCATATCATGGATTATCAAGGATTCTCTCTGAAACAGTATGGAGCTCAAAGGCTTTCTCTCTTGCCGGTTATACCACAAGGTGAGTTCCTTTTTACTTCCTGCTTCTTCACACACATGCTCTCCAGTACAGGTTAGCTCTGAGTGTTAGCGATGCTAATGTAAACACCGACCATATTACGTCCAAAACAGTCGGGCATTGTTTCTGATAGCAACGTTTCTGATAGGGCCGTGGGTGTAAAGCCAGCCTACATTTACGATATTCCCCGAGTTCCCCGACACACCGGGGACACATATTTATGTTTAAAAGACATCAAAAAGTGCATTTTGCATGATAGGTCCCATTTAATATACAGAAATGCTGGGTTAATTTGTCTTCTTTTAAAATGTGTGATCTAATTAATAAAAGTGTGAACATGAAATACAAATAATCGCTCAGATATTAAGCTTTTATTTCTGCTGGCCTACTTCTTTATTTTCTACCTCTATCCACTTGAATATGTTAACATGTTTAATTGTTGAAGTTAAAGTGTCAGCCAGTAAAAAAAACACGAAAAATAATACTAATAATATTAGTGTTGAAACCATAAATTGCTTAATCAAATACACTGTGAAAATGCAGGTGATGGGGTTGTAATGACTTTTCTCAGTGATAAAACCCGAAAGTAAACTCCTTCCAGTTCCTTCGACAAGTATAAATAATTTTCGAATCATAAATCTATCGATTAGATTTATGTTTAAGAAAATTATTAAAAAATGTGGATATTATCCGGCAGAACAAAACGTGATCTGTCTCTTCAATGTGTGTCAACCACATTGTTTCGAGCTATTTTCCAAAATCCTATGGAGAAATTGCATTGCTTTTTGTCGAAGGAACTTCCGGGTTTTAGGATCACTGTGGCACTCTATTGGTTTGCATTGTTTTCACAGTTATCAAAACATGAAAACAGAACATTTCCATTTTGTGAGCCAGCAAGTTCACAACATCTGTTTGGGTCACTGGGTCTGGTTTCATCTGGTGTACATGTTTCACACTTTTGTGACATTCAATAGCCAGTCAATTGATACATTGGTCCAAAAGAACCAGATTAATGCATGAAGGAATTTCTCATTCGCTGCAGATAAGAAAGGTATAAAAGTGTCACGTCACGCTCCCACCTGATCTGCATTGTGAATGGAGGAGTGTTGATGGATGCAGGGAACATGTGATCCAAAGCTTCTGTATGAATGGAGCAGACAGCGGGGCTGATTAAGTTACTGAGGGACCTGCCATATAGGAACAGCAGGCAGAAGGTGTGCTGAGCTCTGTGGGGATTACTGCTCTGTTACCTGCTTCACTTTTGGTCTTTTTGTTAATACTAAAAACTGGAGGAAACAGGAAGAAATGCAGGTATGTTAAGGGTGTAAATTAAGTCACTTTATTGGATTAAAATGTAAAATAGTGGTAAAAAAGTGTCCTTGAGACCCATTTGTTTTCTAATGTATTTGGTTTTCAGTATCAGCTGTCAATCAGACGTGTGTGGTAACGTTTCTCTTGGATTTGCTTTTGATAAAGATTTAGCTTATGCCTGTGAGACTTTATTATTTGACTTCTCCTTCTCCAGCTGCTGCTTAAAATATTGAGTACTTCACAATTTGGATTTGTTGTGTTGAAATAGTGTTTAAAAATAAAATCTGAATCAGAAAACTTTATTTTTACCGTGGGAAATTGTGTTTTAAGACAGTTTGAGACATTGTTGAATTACATTAAAATCAAGATAAGCACATAATGTGTAGAAATATGCACATTGTACTACAATATATAACATGTTTATTGCAATGTATTCAGTGGTGTACTGGGATTATAAGGTATTAATACTGAATTTCACAGTTTAAGAGGGTTATGTTGCATTAAGACAATTTAACTTTGTCCTTTTTCTTGTGTTGATGAGTTTTTACCACTTTAACATTTGTGTTAACTTTGAAAAGGGTTCTATAAATAAAATGTATACTACTACTACTACTACTACTACTACTACTACTACTACTATTTTTGAGCTTCTCCTCCAGTATTTAGGGTACTTCCTGCGGAGTATTCAGTTCCTGGAGCTCTGAGTCTGAATCAACCAGTACAACACACACACACACACACACACACACACACACACACACACACACACACACACACACACACACACACACACACACACACACACACACACACACACACACACACACACACACACACACACACACATACACACACACACACACACACACACACACACACACACTCTCTCTCTCTCTCTCTCTCTCTCTCTCTCACACACACACACACACACACGTTTTCCATCTGCTGAATCGCTGTTACCTTTTCCTCTCTGTTATCCAGGACATGGAAAAGTCTGGACGTTTCTCAGCGAGGATGAAGGGAGGAGGAGGTGTCGGCATGACAGGAGGAGGAAGAGGAGAGGGGGAGACCCAACCAGCCCCCAGTCGGCCTTACCCACCAGGGATACACCCCGGAGGTAAACCACTCAAGTTAGTGTGTGTGTTTCCTGCTAGTTACATCTACTAGTTTTACAGTTAGTTTTGTGTCTCTCTTCAGTGTTTAAGTTGTTACAGACTGGGTCTTTGAATTTTTTATGATCCATTATTTTATTTCTCACCCTTCTTTTGTCCTGTAGCTGAAGCCTCTCTCACCACTGACATCAATAATTCATCTTGTTTGAAGTTGTTTTCTAAATCCTCGGCATTAGTCTCAAGTTCATGAGATAAACAGTTCCCTGATTAATGGAAACACTGCCAAGATTCAAATGTCTGTTTTCAACCTGCGTTTATACTCAATACACAATAAAAGAGACATCATATGAATCAAAATCTAAGAATAGACACAGATAAGGCCGTCCTTTAATGTGGTTTATTGTGGTGTATCAAACATTGTATTTGTTACTATAGTTATTCCCAGGTTGTTTGAGGCTCAGTGACACAGAACCGGTCCAGGTGTAAAGTTCACCAGTGTTAACCGTTAGTCGTTTAGCTGTAATGAGCAGTCTGACCTCATGGATAATGCAGAGACAGCCATTCACTGTAACCACAGATGACTCCTGTACTCGCTATAGGCCTCTGTCACTCTCAATCTCTCTCTCGCTACACACTCTTTATCAAACACACACACATGCTTTCATTCGATCACTTAATTCCTTTAGGCGTCTCGGTGCATGGCTGTGCACAATGTGATTGTTTTTACTCCTGATTTTCTGAGTTTGAAGTTGTGGTAGTACTGAGTAGTTAAATTATATTGTTGTATTGAAAACAGTAGGCATAAATTGTTAAAGACTTAATGTAATTCATCTAGATTACATTTTGTGTGCACGGGTACCTTAGACCTCAAAAGCAACGGAGGGGGCAGTGGGTGGGAGTTGGTAGGTATATTTTTAAAAAGTAAGAAAAATTGAATGACTCTTAATATCTTAATTGTATAGCATGAATAACATTTGTCCTTCACTAAAATGTATGTGTGTTTAACAGGTTATATTTAACAGGTACATTTCTGATGATCTTGTCTGAGCCTGTCTTCCCTTGATGAAATTAGCAATAGGGTCGGAAGAAACCCAAAGTTTATAAGCAGCACTTTTCCCTAACCCTTAACCTGTTCCCTGAACCTGTCGCTCCTCAAGCTGTGCCAGTGCTTCCAGTAGCCGGAGGAATGATGCCCCCCATCCCTGCCATGCCAATCCCCTCCCACCACCATCACCACGAACAACACCAACAACAACAACAACAGCAGCAGCAGCAGGAGCCTCCACAACAACCACCACCCCCACAACAACAACCATTCCACCAATACAACCGTCCCCAACACCCCTACGACCCACATACTTCCTCCACCATCCCTCCCGCCTCCCGTGTGGCCCCCACCCCCTCGCCCTCTCGCACTGCCCCCCCCCGCTGCTGAGTCAGATAATGTCGCCTCCCATTTCTCTGCCGCCCCCCCGGTGGTTCCAGGCCTACCTGTGATGGCAGGTTTGCCAGGTACAGCCCCTTGGGGTGCGTTCCAGCATGTTTGGCCTGAAGCGTGAGGGCGTGGTGGAGTTACAATTCAATTTGAAACAAGTTCCTCTGTGTGTTTTGATTGAAGTCAAACGTTGACTTTAATTAAGTGTTTTATGTCAACAGATTTCACATTACTGTATTAGGTGAGTTGAAAGGAATAATACAGTATTAAGTTGAACCTAATAATCGTTATTTAAACTTAATATTATTGCTTTCAACCATTGACATAATACATTTAAATAAAGTCAATGTTTCAGTTTTTTCTGTGTTGAATTGGAGTTTACTGGGTATTTTGGTATTTTGCTGTGAACTGTGTTTTCTACAGCCAAATCATCTTTACTAAAGGGTTTCGATTGTTCTTATTTCTCTAGGATCTGAGCACATGGTACTGACCCAACAGCAGCAGGCCATCATCAACCAGCAAGCTATCATTCTGGTTAGTCACTCTGCTTATTGTGATATTACTGTTGGTGTGTTTGGAAAATACATGGTAACACTTTGGGCTGTACCAAAAAGCGTCAACGTTAATTTCATATCTTTGATACCCACATTCTAAATCAAGATGTTGAACAGATTTTGTATTTTCTTTCTCAGTTTAAACCTGGTCTTTCTGCACAGTTGCAGATAAAGATGAAGCTATACTGATATTATCGGTATCTTACTCTCGACGATGACTGACTGGGAGTCACTTGGATCATTTTAACCGACAGCTGAAAACACGTTTTTTTAGATTAGCTATTTATCAGCGACATCCCCTTTTAACTGGTCTTTTAATCCTAATTCACTTAATTAATATAGGTGTTTTTATTTAGGTTTTTATTATAGTTATACAAGGTGTACTTTATGCGTGTTGCAGGCCCAGCAGATGACCATGCAGGCCATAGCGATCCAGCAGCAGATGTTGTCCGTCTTCCCCCCCGCTGCCCCGGCGCCTCAGTCCCCGCCCGCACAGCATCACATGACACAATACTCCAGTCCTGTGAGTATCCACATACTTCTGATTTGCCTGCATGCAATAATATTAAGTTTAAATATGTTTAACTTAATATTATTGCGTTCAACTTACCTACAGTTATGTGAAGTGTGTGTATACATTCTGTCCTGCACCAAAATATACAACATTTGTTTTCCTGCAGACCAGAGAGAGTGAGGAGTCGCCGTACAAGCCTGCTGCCGTTCAGCGCAAAACGAGTAAGTTCTACTAAGTTACTGAATGGAAAGTCGGTAGATTTGCTGTGTGGTTAATTCCATTATCACAGTGAAGCTTCAGGATGCCCCATGCTTTTTTTTGAAGAGGATTTTAATAGCTGAAGGCTCACACTGTTCTTTTACCTCTCTGCAATCTCATAAAATGCCCCCTGGAGAAGCTTTGACATAATTCTATGTTTCAGTAAGTACTCGATCTAATAGAAAGTGTTGTTCAAGGTCCGACCCGTGGCCCCCCTCCTGAGGACGTGGTACGATCCAGTGCCAGTAACACAGAGCGCATCGATCCCAGCCACAACATCAAAGACATTATCAAACAGCATCATCCCGCCGACACAACCACTTCTACTGGACCTGCTCCACAAAGGTAACACGCTCATCATTTTGTAACATACGTTTTTTAATGTAATAATAATATTAATAAAAGGGTTTTTTCCATCTACTGATTGGTGTGTGTGTGTGTGTGTGTGTGTGTGTGTGTGTGTGTGTGTGTGTGTGTGTGTGTGTGTGTGTGTGTGTGTGTGTGTGTGTGTGTGTGTGTGTGTGTGTGTGTGTGTGTGTGTGTGTGTGTGTGTGTGTGTGTGTGTGTGTGTGTGTGTGTGTAGGAAAGGTGATGGAAAGGTGTTTGGGAAGAAGTCAGACCCACATGATGAAGCTATGGAAATCCTTAAAGATCAGATGGCTAACCCCCCACAACCGGTACCCCAACTCAACTCACACACACACACACACACACACACACACACACACACACACACACACACACACCACATTCTAATGGAATCTTACAATAATTTCAATCCTCAGACTCAAAGGAAGCCTCAATCCTCCCTACGTAAAGAAGATGGAGGAGTTAAGGTTACCAAGACGACCAAGTCTCGCCCCGCTGGGCCAACCAGCTCCAACTTAAGCCCCGCCCCCCCTCCAGGTACACATTTTACACACTAATGTGACACGACGCACAGTACTAGACAGCAGAATGGCAGAAAGTTCTTCGCAGCTTTCACACCTGCATGTGAATCGACCCAATGGGAAGTCAAACGTTTTTAAAAGTGTGTTTGTGTGTGTGTGTGTGTGTGTGTGTGTGTGTGTGTGTGTGTGTGTGTGTGTGTGTGTGTGTGTGTGTGTGTGTGTGTGTGTGTGTGTGTGTGTGTGTGTGTGTGTGTGTGTGTGTGTGTGTGTGTGTTGTGTGTGTGTGTGTGCTTGTGTTTCCAGTTTCTAGAGAGTTGCCAATAGAGCAGGAGATCATTCAGACTCAACTCCACAGTAGGACCAGTGATGAATATTACACCTACTCCAACGTCCCCTGGAAACTCTACATGAGGAAAGAGGTGTGTTTCTTCATTGTATGTTAAGCGGTTATTTAAGCAGGGTCTGATTTATGATCACAAACTATCACAAGGAACATTATTTAAGATGGCCCTGAAATATAACCTTACAGCAAATGTAAGGAAACAAAGACTGTCAAAATAAGTATACGTTTTTGAAGATCTTGTTGTAGTGAATATCAATGTATTATGTCTGCCACTCCAGAATCAGTCAGTGGTGCCAGACAGTAGAATTTGAATATTCAATTTCCCCTTGTACAATGTCATGAAATGTAAAATATTTTTGTTATTTTTGTCTGTTTACAGGTTTTCTATCCTAAAGAGACATTCAACAGCCCGCTGATTCTTGACCTGCTCTTCAGACAGGTTGATCTATGTATTCCTTATTAGTTATTTACTTGTTTCTACATTTATTGTGCATTAAGTTCATTTATCATTTTGTGTTTAAAAAAGTCAGGTTTAGTTTTGAATGTTAGGTGCAGTGAGGAAAGCTGTTTTGAAGCCCTGATGCTTAGTCGTCTATAAGGCCTATTTATTAGGATATCTTCATTACCATCCAGCCACAGAGGTCTATTCTTTCTACATTATAGAGGAATTATTTTGTATCCTGGATAGCTCAGACAGTAGCGCATATATAAAAGTCTAAAACTAATGGTTTTTATATAGATCATTTGTGAACGAATACATCAAATCGACATTTAGGCACTTTATATTTTAGTAAACTAATCACCGCAGGGAAACATCATTAAAACATGTTTTTCCACTTCATTTCTAAATGTGTTCTGCAGGTTGTACACGACACTTTCTCTGAGGCCTGCATCCGTATCAGCCAGGAGGAGAGGCAGAAGATGAAAGCTCTATTTGGTATGAAATACACAAAAAGCTTAAAGGTGCCATGTCATGGCCATTTCCACTGATCATAATTCCATTGTTGAGGTCGACTAGAATAGATTTATATTGTGCAATTTTCCAAACTCACATTGGTTTCTCACAGCATCTCTGTATAGTATGTGTATTCACTCTCTTTCTAACACGGCTTGTTGGAGCTCCTGCCCCCCCCCCCCCCCCCCCTGTGAGCCCAGTGGCCGTCTGCGACACAGCGAGACACAGCGAGACACAGCGAGAGACAGCGAGACACAGCGAGACACAGCGAGAGACAGCGAGAGTAAGCGAGACACAGCGAGAGACAGCGAGACACAGCGAGACACAGCGAGACACAGCGAGACACAGCGAGACACAGCGAGAGTAAGCGAGACACAGCGAGAGACAGCGAGACACAGCGAGACACAGCGAGACACAGCGAAACCATCCAGCACACACACACACACACACACACACACACACACACACACACACACACACACACACACACACACACACACACACACACACACACCCTGACTGGGAGTTTGTGTGTGTGCTCAGTCACACACCGACTCACAGCCTCGCCGTCTCAGGGAGGAGAAATCGGCGGAGCTGCAGCTGAGAAAAGATTGAGTGTGTGTGTGTGTGTGTGTGTGTGTGTGTGTGTGTGTGTGTGTGTGTGTGTGTGTGTGTGTGTGTGTGTGTGTGTGTGTGTGTGTGTGTGTGTGTGTGTGTGTGTGTGTGTGAGGAAGTCCGCGGATTGGTCAATTTGGACCAATCCACGGAGGGGTCGTCGTTACGTCACTTGGTTCCCGGAAGAAAAAAATGGAAAAAGAGAAATGTCCAACGAGGCGTTCTGGGGCAGCACAGACAGGTCTTTTCTGTGTTAGAGTTTTACTCGCTACAGGGTGTACTTTGAGGGTTCGTGACTCTGCAGACCGTTTACATGCAGAAAAAGCTACAGAACACACAAGGGGACGGGTAATAACCAGAAAAGCATGACATGGGACCTTTAATGACACTTCTCATCCGTTCTCGTTATTTATAGTATACAGACACAACACACATACAGATAACATACAGTACATGAACTTAAAACCCGTCTTTGTGTGTCTGACAGCTGAAAACAAGGTGGATCAAGTGTCAGGAACACATGATGAGACCGTGAAGAAGAAAGTTGTCACCGTGGCCAGGGACTCATGGGAGATTTACTTCTCCCGCCTCTTCCCAGCCTCTGTGAGTTCTTGTTTCCTCTTGGAAAATATGATGAACCCAAAAGCATTACTTACAACATCCTCTGCTACATTTAGCTCATTGTACATGTATGTTTGTTTTGACTTCATCTGCATTACTTGCACATTGGTCTTACAGGATAGTTTTGCACCATTGTAATTATATATTTACTATGTGTGCAAGTACTCAGGTTTTTTCTGTGTGTGTGTGTGTTTGTGTGTGTGTGTGTGTGTGTGTGTGTATGTGTGTCTGTATTTGTGTGTGTGTCTGTGTGTTTTCCAGGGCAGTGTGGGGACAGGAGTGCAGGTGCTGTCTGTGTCTCATAAAGGCATCAAGCTTCTGAAGATGGTGAGGAATAGCTCTTCTGCTCCAGACTACTTCAGAGTGCTGAGGCCTTACAGGTGAGCCTCATTCCACGACCAAACACATGGACAGAGTGTGTGTGTGTGTGTGTGTGTGTGTGTGTGTGTGTGTGTGTGTGTGTGTGTGTGTGTGTGTGTGTGTGTGTGTGTGTGTGTGTGATAGAGGTGAGAATCTTTACTCAACTTACCGTTTAATTCAATAACAATTCAACTGTCAACGTTTCGATTGAACATTGACACTTGTTGGATAGCATACTCAATGTTCTATATTTCTGCACATAGCTGCTTTTTTGTAAATCAATTCAGGCAGTCTGATAAATCTGACTTTTTTTTTTAACATGCTTTCAAAAACTAGTAATTATAATATAAAAAGCTGCATCTTGTAAATACCAGTATCAATGTGAACTTTAAACTACAAAAAAAAAGCTTTTCTCAAAGCAGCCTTTAGACATTTTAAACTGCATGAATGAATTAGCCTAACTGTTCCTTATCCACTGCTGTTCTAATCTGCCTCGGTTTAAGTCACTGCTTCCCCTGACAGAACACCACAGTAGAATCTGCATGTATTTAGTTTTAGCGTAACACTGTTGAAACAGGGAATCTAATATTGGTAGCAAGAGAACAAAGTTAGTTGAGTGTGATTTTGCTCTCCTTAAAGTCAAATAAAACAACAGGAAAAATCATTGACCTTTTTTATCTGTCTGTGTTAAGAGATTTGACCCCATGCCCTATCCTCATTCACTTTAACTTTATGTCAACTTCCTGGTTTTTACATATCACTTCCTGTGCAGCTACTCGGACATCCTGTTTGTGTCGATACCGTCCAAGAACATGCTGGAGTTCAACCTGAGCAACGAGAAGCTCATCCTGTTCTCGGCCAAAGCCCCGCAGGTCAAACACATGATCGACTACTTCCTCACGGAGCTTAAGAAGGTTAGAGGGTGTGTGTGTGTGTGTGTGTGTGTGTGTGTGTGTGTGTGTTTTTTGTAGGTTTGCTGGAGGTAGTCTTTTGGTGTTTGATGTATACAGTCTAGAACACATCTTATACACTCTAAATGTTGTTTTTGGTCATCATGCATATGCTCTTCTGTAAGTCCACTTTTCAACAGTATACAACATAGTTTTATATTTTTGTTAATTACACCATTTCACTTTGAGATACGTTGGGGAAATCACAAAAGAGGTAGAGGAAATTATGGTAAAAATCAAAGCAGCTTTTTATTTTCTATGTAGGCAAGGCAAGTTTATTTATATAGCACTTTTCAACACAAGGCAATTCAAAGTGCTTTACAAAAAATGAAAGACATTCAGAAAATGGCATTTAAAATCAGTCATTAAAAAGAAAAGCTAATAAAATAAACATTAAAAGAAAAAGTACATGGATAAAAGTTACAGTGCAGTTTAAGATGTGAATAGTTCAATTAAAAGCAGCGACAAAAAGAAAAGTCTTCAGCCTGGATTTAAAAGTAGTCAGAGTTGCAGCGGACCTGCAGGTTTCTGGGAGCTTGTTCCAGATGTTTGGAGCAGGTACTGCTATGTACAATTCCACAACACTGTATCCTACATTTCCCAGCTCAATAACATCTTCTGTCACACTCTCCCTGTCTCATGTTTGTCACACATCTGAAACCAAATAATACTTCTATCAAGAGGCTCCATTTGACCTCAGAAAACAATCAACATCTGTTTGGACAGGCTCAGTAGGCCTGATGTGTAAAATTGGTGGAGTGACCCTTTAATATATTTCTGGTGTTTTATCACATTGTACTTACGAGCTTAAGTTGTGTCTGCGTTTAAATTCATATGCAAGCATCACTGTTTTAGTTTGTTTGGCTTTAGCATAACATACAGTTCTCTTGATCTCCCATTCACTGAGAGAAACTGAAACGCTGGCTCTAATTAAATGTATTATGCCAACAAATGTCACATAACTGCGTTAAGTTATTAATAATATTAAGTTTAAATATTAGGTTCAACTTAATATTATTTCGTTTACCCAGTAATGTGAAATCTGTTGACATAATACATTGAATCAAAGTCAACGGTTCAGTTTCTCTCAGTGCTCTTCAGTAAGTTACTCACAAATGAACTACACATAGTTACACCAGCAATCACATATAAGCAATACATTATTTAGAAATGTGTTTTTTGGCTTAAACCTTCTTCTGCGGACCACTTGAGATTTTGCAGCATGTCTGTGTCAACATGTCCCGTCTGTGTCAACATGTCCCGTCTGTGTCAACATGTCCCGTCTGTGTCAACATGTCCCGTCTGTGTCAACATGTCCCGTCTGTGTCAGGACTCGGAGTACGTGGTGGCGGTGAGGAACTACATCACGGAGGACAGGACTCTGCTCAGATTCCACAAAGGAGACATCATCAGAG